GTTCTTGCCTTGAGACTCCCTGGAGGATGGCTTCTGCCAGTACAGCTGCTTCAGCCCTTGGCAGCTGTAGAAAAGCTGAGGAATTCACATACTTGCTTCTTCTGGCCTTTGGGTATCTGGCATATACAGTGAGAAATAAGATACATCCAGCTAATGCTACAAACTATTTAGATAAAAGTTGAAAAGATGGGTTTCTTATCGCTAATATTTGGGAACACCAGCATCTGTCAGTGGCTTCTTATTACTGAATAGACTCTAGTTGGGAACAGAGAGAAGTGGATCGGATTGGTCCCTTCTGTCGAGGAAGTCTTAGAGTAGATCTCAAGTGCTTGGCAGACTCTTTTTTTGTATGCCAGCAGTTGCCTCCTGTTTTTTTAGCTCCTCATTTTGGAAAGCTGTTCCTTGGGTGACAGGCTCCCCATCCGCAGCCAACACAGCATTCCTCAGAGCAAGCTTCCTGACCCAACCAGCCTGCAGCAGCAAGCCAGCTTGCTCTGGTCTGTTTGCCATATGTCAGAGCCCATTGCTGACCCTGCAGAGATCAGACTGAAATGGTTAAGGAAAAGAAAGGCAGCAGAACCAAGTTATCCATACTCCTTGTCCAGATGGGAGTAGCCTTATGCTCTCTCTCTCTTTGGGGCTTAGCTCTGATAGGCATGGACAGGAAGAAGCATGAGAACCATTCACTGGGATGCAAAGTAGTACCCTGAAGCATTGTACATTTAGAACTTCAGCTTGTTGGATGTCAGAAATGTGAAGGAAGTCCCAGAACACTAATCCAGACCCCTTGTTTAATGATGAAGTCACAGAAACTCAGAGAATTTAAGTGACTACCTCAGGGACACACATTGTTTAGGAAGACTTCAGACAAGAACCAAAGGCCTCCCTGGAGTTTGAGCAGATTTACTCAGTACTCCTGGAACACACTTAGGTTGTTGATAAGTATGTTTTCTTCTAGGGGCACCATTGTCTCCTTGCGGGAGGGGTGTATCCTGGCACATATCACAGCAGGAACAGTAGTGAAGCTTGTGTGGAGAGCAGAGTCTGGAGTCAGACTCCTGGATTTGAATCCCTTTTTCTTCATAGGCTGGCTCTGTGACCTCAGGCCCACTCCCTTAAACTCTATTCACTTCCTCCCACTATCAAATGAATTAGACATGACAATTCATGATAATCTACTCCTAAGTATAATGATTTAAAAATATTGATAGTATGTTGTTAACGTGGACCGACCATATTTGCCCCCTCTCTTCCTGTTTCATGCTATGATCAAGACCTACCTTCTTTGTGAAACATTCCCATGGGAACTCTGACAGACTGCTCCCCCACCCAGGTCCCACTGCCAGAGGTTAAGAAACCTCAGTTTCCTAATCTATAAAAGACAGAACAACCTATTTTAGGCTTGCTGTGAGGTTTGAAGGTGATACGGCTATGAAGCATACAGCCCCAGGCTCTGCGAATGCTGGGTCCCTCTCTATTTTTCTTTCCATAATAGTAGTTCCCACATCTCTTTTCTTTTCCTATTGCCATTTATTCCAGGTCCTAGTGGGGTTAGTTCAGGGTGATTCTGTTTCTTAAGAGGCAGTCTGTCACAGCAGTTGAGAGTAATCACCTAGAAGACAGACAGCTGGCTGTCACTTCATGGAGCTGTGTGAGAGACAGGAGCAGCTTCCTTACCTTTTCTTGGAGCTAGAGCATCCATGGGGACCTCAGGCTCTGGGATTGCCCTTTGGGCCCAGCAGTGCCTGCTGCAGGCCTGGGGCCAGGCTGTAAGATAAGCCTATTCCCAGGAACAGCAGCCAGGGCTGGCACAGAGTCTGGAGATTGTTTGATGCGAGGGCAGGAGGCAGAAGCAGCTGGAGTTGAGATTGAGAAAAACTAGAGGCTGATCTTGGTCCAGTCTAAGCTAAGCAGAGCAGATTTACTGACATTGGTATTTCAGATAAAACTGTTTAGAAGTAGGTTTCCCTGGTTTGTGTGCATATATTTTTGTTTTTTGTGTGTGTGTTTGTTTTTCTTTCTCCCCGTTGCTACTTGTCTTGGCTCCATTTAACCCTTTGATGCCACTTAGCTGAGGCAGAAGGCAGTCCCACTAAATTTGGGGGGGTACCAGGGATTGAACTTACAGGCACTTGACCACTGAGCCACATCCCCACCTATTTTGCCTTTTATTTAGACACAGGGTCGCACTGAGTGGCTTAGCCTCTGGCTTCTGCCGAGGCTGGCTTTGAACCTACGATCCTCCTGCCTCAGCCTCATGAGTCACTGGGATTACAGGTATGCACCACTGCACCCAGCCAGAGTCACTTACTTTGAGAACATACCTGAATGGCTGTGGCAGCTCTGGACTTGCCACTGAGTAGAATACTGTTCCTAGCATAAAGGGGGCCTGATTCTAAAAGAGCATTTTACATGGATTATCTCAAGTACTCTACCCACAATCCTTGGATGTACAAAAGGATGAGCTGCTGACAGTTAATTGGTACATTCCTCATGACTGAAATCTAGGTTTGCTCAGCCTCCTAATTACTGTGTTCCTCTTTTCTCCCTTGCTAGCTAGTCTCCTTGACCTCAGTATGCCTCCATTTATTTTCCTGTAATTGAGGGTGATTACTTCATAGAAATACATTTAAATATAGCTACTAAAAGACTAACATATAAAGGGAATTACTTAATAATAATGGGGTTGTTTTTGGAATGTTGGCAGTTGGGTGCCTGGATTGTGCTCAGGCTGCTCCTGTAGAGTTGCAAAGGTCAGGAGGAGGACTGACCAGGGAGGCAGTTCCACTGAATGAGCTAACTGAGTAGAAAACTGGACACTCTGTCCTGTAAACCTGCAGAGCTGAACTAGGTGGGAAGGGAAAGGCATCTAGAACTGGCTGAAAGCCTGCTTCAGGTAAGGGACAGGGTGTGATCATCGATTTAATAAAGTGTTCATCAGGCACAGCGAGGATTCACCTTGGATTTTATTCAGGCTCAATTACTAGGAAATCTATCCTGTGGAGAGCCTGATCCCCTGGTGTTTTGGGGCAGTGGTGCCTTTGAGTAGAGTCGGTGCTAAGGTGGGTGCAGATGCATTATGGTTGTACATAGGGAGACTGTTTCTGAGCAAGACCCAAGCTAATGACTCAAGGTGATATGGGAATCTTAGCTGGACCTAGGGAAACTGAGGCCTGGAGCCCATTGTTCAGATGGGACAAGCTGAGCCTTCCAAAAGGCTAACCAGACTAACCTTTGCTCCGCATCTTTTAACAGGTACCGTATCAGGAAAAGTGCCACATACTCAGTCTGCATTTCTTCACTGAACCCTACAACAGCTCTATAAGGCAGATCTAAGAAATTCAGGTTTCCATCAGGGTTAAATAATTAGCCAGTAGCAGAACTGGGCTTTGGTTAAAGCTCTAAGCTGGAGCTTTAACCATGCTGGTGGACTGAAACATCCCAGGATTAGGACAGCTGGACTAATTCTAGTCCCCACCTCTGGTGGGGCTGAGCCCATGGGCACCCTGCTTATCAGGATCATGGTGGCAGGGCTGGCCTGGCCTGGCCTGGGGGAGCATATCCTTATTGAGCACTAGGAATAGAACCATGTATTGTTTCCTTCCAGTGGCTGGATAGTTGAGGATTTGCTGTTTTGGGGTTGCTGTGGTGTCACTCCTGAATTCTGGGCCCAAACCCAGGTGTTCCTCCCCTGGAGGTAGGTGCAGCAGTATAGCTCAGGGGTATAGGTCATGGTTTCTTGGACCAGACTTACCAGGTTCTGTTTGGTGTGGGATCTCAAGTGATTTACTCTGTGCCTCAGTGTTCCTGTCTTTAAAGGGGATTGTAGTGAGGTATGTGAGTTAAAGTGCTTAGCATAGTGCCTGGCACCAAATCAAGTGCTCAATAATCGATAATTGCTATTATTAGCTATTAGTCACCAGTTAGTGAATCCAGGGAAACCTTTAACTTTAAAAGGCTTGCCCGCCTGAGATGCAGAACTGAGCACTGTGTTTGGGCCTGCGGAAAGTACTGTGAGCAGAAGTATTTTCCCAGGAAAGGGGTAGACACAGAAGAAGGGAGTCCACTGGGCAGTAATCAGAGTAATTAGGAAGCCATATTCACCATCAGACCTGAAAATATTTTCTTCTGACTTGAGACCACCATGCGCCTCGACAGGCAACTGGAATGGGGGCCTTTCAAAGAAAGGGGCCAGAATGGAAGAAGGATCTGACCTTCTGACATTGACCGGTTGATCATCTGTCGACATTGATTTTCCCTCCTTTTCTCATCTGCTGGGCATGTTAAAAGCCTTCAGATTTCAGCTGGTTCCACTGTGTCAAGTCGTCTAAGATGCTCTTATATTGAAAGCTGATGGGGTGAACGAGACTTAGGGCTCTTTGGGAACCCCGTCCGTTTGGGGCTTACCTAGACACCCTGGTGCCAGACTGTGGAGGAAGCAGCAGTGTGAAGCGTCTGCCCATGTGGGTGGGGTGAGTGGCCTGGGGTAGGTGGGTCAGTGGAGGCCAAGAAATCCTCTTATCTCACCCGGTGCCCTGGCCTCCCTCAGCAGCAGGAGCTGAGCAGTAAACCCTGGTGAGTCATCCTGCCTGGGAATCAGAGTTGCCAGTCTGTGAGCATGTGGGGTTTGTGTAAGTTTGGGCCTTTTGTTTCTTTCAGCGCTCCAGTCTTTAGAAACACAAATCTGGAGACCAGACCCTCCACATGGTACAGTCCTTCTTGTTTGGAGATAATTCTACTTGAACAGTTGCTTTTCTGGTATGATGGTCTTCCAAGAATGAACCCCTTGCCTTTTGAAAATTTGAATAAGCCGTGCTTATGGATTACTAGTTATACTCTAAAAGCGTGAAAAGACTTTTTAAAAAAATCTTACCTGGGTCTGTCGTTTTCACAACAAAAGCCCTAAAAGGGGGTTCAGTGTGTTTGGGAAGCTGAATTGAAACTTCAGATCTGTTGAGGACATGTGTGGACATGTCTTTTTGTCATTTATTCTCTTTGAGGGTGGAGAATGGGACACTCCCTGATATGATGAGTCTCCAGTAACTACAGGAATGATTCTGACTTCATTTTAAGCTTGCATATTCAGAGCTTACCCTTAGAATTTCCTCTTGAAGACAACTCCCATTTTATCCTGACACTATTTGGAGGAAATCAAGTTAAGGTAAAGTAAAAGTTTCAGCCTTTCATAAAAACTACCCTGTGCCCCACTGCCAGGCTTTCAGGAGCTTTGAATTTATATCAGGGAGGCCCATCTGGGACTGACATTGATTTTGTCTCGTGTCTGCTTTCTGTACTTCTGGCTCCTGATCCACATTTCTATTAACAGTGTAATTTCAGTGGCTGCAACTGGCAAAATTTTGAAAGTTGTAAATTATAAATGGATTTTCTAGCAAACTAATTGAAGGTAAGGATGAGGCCTGAATGGATAATGTAGTCTTAGAAATCACCTTCCTCAGACATTTCTGGCAATTCATTTAAAAGTTATTAATTACAATAAGCAATTAATAAACCACCATGATGAGTCTGGTATGTATCATTGCAGACTTTTCTTTTTCTTCCAGTGGTTAGTTATCCTACCATTTAGAGATTGTGCAGAGTGAATCAGCCTTTTTTTTTTTAATATTAGTTGTCGGTGAACCTTTATTTTATTTCTTTATATGTGGTGCTGAGAATTGAACTCAGTGCCTCACACATGCTAGGCAAGTCTGCTACCACTGAGCCACAGCCCCAGTCCAGCCTTTTTTTTTTAAGTGGAGATATACTGCTTTGGAAGAAGACCTGACAGTCCTCTAGGATGATCACATTTATTGTGAGCTGGGCTTGCATTTTTTGTATAGCCTTTCTGCAGACCCAAAGGAGGTGAAAAAGAAGCTACTCCTTGGGAAACTGCTTGGTGTACAGGCTGGTGGATGACTTCGATGGGTGGAGGAATGGAGCAGGGTAGAGAAAGGATATTACGCCTGCTGTGAGGGGCAGGCACAAGAAAGAGTCTGGAGAGAGCAAATTTCACTTTGCTGTTTGTCTAGGCCCCTGTTCATAGTCTTGATGCTGCAAATCTCTTTAGGCCATAATAAGACTGTATAGCTACCTTGGACATGGTCACCCCTTCTCCTTATTCATCTTTCTTAAAAAGAAAATCTGAGGGTATTGAAATTAGGAACCAGAGATGAACCTCTGGCTTAACCCAAGTCCAGATAACTTTGTTATGTGATGGCTAATTGGCAAGACAAATTTCCTCTGGAACATTCCTGTCACAACTGTAGTCTCTGATGGGTTCTGTACATGAAACAGCCTTTTGTAACCCATGTTACTCAAAGAATTCTAGGAATTTCCCTTACTGGTTCTTCATGTGTACCCTAGCCCCTGAATTTCCAGGGGGACTTACAGAGCTGGTTTATGAGGGAGGTGATGATGAATTCAGGTTCAGTGAAATGGAGTGGTTACTGTATGGAGTGGTTCCTGGCGGGTAGTGTCCATACCCCACTCCTCTATTGAGAGGTGACCACTTTTTAATTTCTTTCCAGGTTGGCTGGCTCCTCTGGCTGATGGCATGTTGAGGTACATGGGCCAGTGGCAGCGAGGGCATCCAATCCAGAGGGGGCCACTCTAGAGGCCAGGCCACCACCACCATGGGCCAGTGTGTCACCAAGTGCAAGAATCCCTCATCAACCTTGGGCAGCAAGAATGGAGACCGGGACCCCAGCAGCAAGTCACACAGCAGGCGAGGGGCAAGCCACCGTGAGGAACAGGTGCCACCCTGTGGTAAGCCAGGTGGGGACATCCTCGTCAATGGGACCAAGAAAGCCGAAGCTGCCACTGAAGCCTGCCAGCTGCCAACATCCTCCGGAGATGCTGGGAGGGAGTCCAAGTCCAATGCTGAGGAGTCTTCCTTGCAGAGACTGGAAGAACTGTTCAGGCGCTACAAGGATGAGCGGGAGGATGCAATTTTGGAGGAAGGCATGGAGCGCTTTTGCAATGACCTATGTGTCGACCCCACGGAATTTCGAGTGCTGCTCTTGGCTTGGAAGTTCCAGGCTGCTACCATGTGCAAATTTACCAGGTAAGTCCCCAACAGTTCAGGTCAGCAGGTGAACAGAGGAGGAGAGAGCACCCTTGGGCAGTGGTGCCAGCTAGGATAGAACAGTTGACTTCACAGGGTTTGGGGTAAGTTTTATTTATTTATTTTACTTTTGCTGACAAAATTCTCTGAAGCTTAAATGCTCTGACTTAAGTTGTGGTTCTGATCCAGAGAATCCCCCGAGACTTTCCTATTGGTTGAAAAAATGCATCCCTGGCACCACAGCAGACTCATTGAAAGTAATCTCGGGGTAGGGCTCAAGCATTTGTATTTTGATAACGCTTCCTGTATCTGAAGTGTACTTCACATTTGTTCTCGCAGGATAAAGCCTTTGCCTAATTTGTAGGTCAGGTTTGAAGCCTATCATAGCATTACCAGGCAACTTGTGAGAATCTGGACACCAGCCATCTTTGCCTGAAGTTAAATGAGGAATAATCCAGGGCAAGTCCTATTGCCCGGCTGCTGCTCAGCCCCACTGCTGTCTTAGATCTTTCTTTCCTTTCACTCCTTTGCTCGTCTCACTCAGTATTGACTGTCTGCCTATCATGTGCGGGGCACTTAGTGCCCATACAGTGAGTACCTCTGGGCTGTCTCTCTGGGACTCCATGGAGCCATTTGTTCTGTAGGTGTTACCTCAGTCATGCATCTGTGTGGAGGTTGAGGGTGAGGCAGGGTCATCTCAGGGCATGCTTTGAGGAGCACAGGGTCATGAGTAAGAACAAACTTTAAGACCCAGATGAACAGTTTCTAGTTTTTAGGGCCTCATGGGAAGGTTGCTCTCTCCACTTCAGATGCCTCAACTCTTCAGTAAGTACAGCAGCCCCTGAGAAGACGATCAGTTTGAGACCATGTCGTACAGGTATTTAAAATACAGATGCAGTTGTTGTTTTTAATACCAGAACTTTAAGATCTAGTGGCAGAGTTGCCCAGGCTCATCCAGAATTCTTGGTTCCAAGAGTCTCCTTGGCCGTCAACAAAAATATTCATAAAACAACTCTTAGAGAATCAAAAAGGAAGCAGAAAGTCTCTCTGTCTGGGAGGAGACTTTTTCCCTATTGCACTGTAGGAAACAACAGGCCAGAGAGCAGGAGACTTGCTCTTAGCTTTGGGAAGGTGAATGGATTATAAGTGAATGAACCTTTATCAGTTGCCGCCCAGTGCCAGGCACAGTTAGAAGCAGTCAGCATCTGTTAGCTTTAGTCCTCCCCCAAACTCTATGAAGGCTGTGTTCTCAGTGTGATCACTGAGGAAATAGGAACGCTTGGTGGAGGAGCTGGGATTCTAATCCCAATCCTTAGGCCTCAGAGCCTTGCTGCCTTCAGTCATTATAGTCTGTTGCCTCTCTGTTAATGATATCTTTTATCATAATTAATTATGTCCTTTCCTTCCCATTATAGGAAGGAGTTTTTTGATGGCTGCAAAGCAATAAGTGCAGACAGCATTGACGGGATCTGTGCACGGTTCCCTAGCCTCTTAATAGAAGCCAAACAAGAGGATAAATTCAAGGATCTCTACAGGTTTACATTTCAGTTTGGCCTGGACTCTGAAGAAGGGCAGCGGTCACTGCATCGGGAAATAGCCATTGCCCTGTGGAAACTAGTCTTTACCCAGAACAATCCTCCTGTGTTGGACCAATGGCTAAACTTCTTAACAGAGAACCCCTCGGGAATCAAGGGCATCTCCCGGGACACTTGGAACATGTTCCTTAACTTCACTCAGGTGATTGGCCCCGACCTCAGCAACTACAGTGAAGATGAGGCCTGGCCAAGTCTCTTCGATACCTTTGTGGAGTGGGAAATGGAACGAAGGAAACGAGAAGGAGACGGGAGAGGCGCACTCAGCTCAGGGCCCGAGGGCTTGTGTCCCGAGGAGCAGACTTAATGGCTCTGTTCCAGGAGCAGCAGCTAGGATCTGCCTGCTGCCCTGCAGCCAAGCGAGGAATTGGACCTTTCTGGAAATTACCGAAGATCCGGATATTTTCTACTTTACACCTTTCTCTGCCTTGTATCTGAAAGGGCTCTAAAATGCTGTATCATGTTTTAGGCACTTTCTTCATTTTTGGTTATTTTGGTTATTTCTTTTTTGGGGGGGGGAATCCCCCAAAATATTTGAACCTGGCTACATGTTGTGTATCTTCTTTTTTTGAAGCCTTCAGATAGAATAAGCCTGCCATTTCTTGCACAAATTTAGGTTTTTGGTTTGTTTTTTTTTGGGGGGGGGGAGGGTGTAGAGCCGGGTGGGGAGAATGGGACTGTTAGGTTGAATTAACATTACAAAATGATACAGTGCCAGATCTCAGTTTTGCATATTGTTTTTCAGGGCAGGTCTGTACTGTGTGTAGTGCTGTTTACATGGTTGAAGTTAGTTGGTAATTATTATTTTTAAAGATTTACCCAGATTTGATAGCAGTGTTAACTGTTAACCACATTGCATTAATTTCCAGACAATTGAGAGCTCTTGGAGAGCCAAGGCCAATCAAGAGCATTTGCAGTCTGGTGACAACCCCCTTTTAAGCTAATTTATCCAAAATCCCTATTTCTCTCACTTCTTGCTCATTCCTTCTTTGACCTATTGCATTTCATGTTGAGTTTATCCATCAACATGCTGCACCTGTCAGTCAAGTGAGCAGTTTTATTTTTTTTAGAACACATTGTACTGAGAACCACTTAAGCGTTGAATGCAGAGAAAGCAGTGCTACCTCAGTTTTGCTGGAAGTTGACTTCTTTGATAGTTTTTTCTTTCTTTGATGAAGTTTCTGTATTTTCATGTTTTAAGTGGAAATACTTTGTTTTTCATTTGTCTTGGAGCCAAAGTTTCTGTTCCTGGTGGTCGGAAGACTGTGCCTGCCGGCCAGCTGACTTAAAGGAAAACTGTGGTATGGAGCTCTGCTTGAATCTTTTTTTTTTTTTTCCCCCTTTCTGAGTGTCATCAGCTAGCTTACTTGTCTGGCATGTGCAGAAGCCTGGGGCTGGTCTGAACTCTGCCAAACAAATGTCAAAGTGTATTTAATAAATGTGCCCTTTCCCTTCTTGCTGCACCCATGTTGTCACTTAACCCCTAGGAGTTATTTATTATCTTTTTGTTAATGTCAGGCTCATTTGGGGTAATGTGATGACTGTTTAGGTTTACATGATCCTCTTCTCCTTCCTCTACCCTCAAATATGTATATATACATATATTAAATATGTATATATTTTACCTATATAAAATATATATATATACACATATATGTATCTATATTTCTTTCTCTGCCTGCTAAACTGGCCATAAAAGAGGGAGCTGCCTTCAATATATAAAGTGTAAGTAAGAAGAGTGCCAGGGAACATCATAATGGAGGCTTTCGTATCTGAATCTGACCATTTTTACTACAGGAGAACATGAATTTGCCCACACCTTCCTTACAGGATGGGGGCCTGTTGCCCACATTGCTTGCTCCATGTGGCCAGCTTTGGCCATACTGCCACTGGGGCCTGAGGAACTAACGCTGGTCCTGTCTGGTTTCAGTAGAGGGTCCCCTTGTTATTTTTCCATTAACATATATATCCTCAAAAGCTGTATTGGAAGGTGGATGGCAGGAGCTTGTAACAGTTCAGCTTCCAACGCTTTGGAACAGATTAAAGGGAATCTTTTAAATAAAAACTTATAAAAATCTTTACACATTTGAGGTAATGAGAGTTTGTCTATTAAACATTTGGAGTTTTCTCCCCTAATTAGTCTCCCACCCCATCCAGGTATATATTTCTTAACCTGGACAGGAATCACATGCTTTGAGTTCCTTTATTAGTAGTAGCTCTGGGCTCTCATATTTACAGAGATGCTTATTTAAGGAGTTTAGGCTGTTTTTCTACAATTGATACTGAACATACTTGGAATTTTTAAATTTCTAAACCAGATGGTTGCCCCTTCTAGAGTGGCAGATAAAAGATTTTTCTATCAGCCCCATTAAACGCTGACAACACTGCTGGAAAGCTGAAAAGGCTCCTAGGCCAGGTGTCGCTTTTGGTTGTAGCTAAATAAGTCACGAAGTCCTTGTGTAAGAGCTTCCAGGGTCCCTAGTTGTGGGCTCAGTTGTAGTTGTGGTACAGATTCTCTTAAAGAATGTTCTCTTCCAGAGAGTTTGCAACTCTTGTTTTTGCCAACCCTGGATTAGGAGAGTTTGGATGAGGGAGGAGAGGCAGGCTTCACTTGGCCAAGTTACATTTTTTCTGTAGATCAGTAGGTATGTGGGAGAGAGCACAAGAGAGCCGAGAACCTGAGGACTTTAGAGGTGGCTGGATGCTTTCCCCAGACCATAAGCCTGCATTTGTGCATTAGGTTTGACAGGGTTTTTTTTTTAAAACTATTTGGCTTCCTTACCCCTTTCCCCATGAAAGAGCCATTGAGAAATTACTTTTGGTTATATTTTAATGATCCCTTTGTTGAGAAGGCAGAAGAGGGAGCAGTCAGGGAGGGGACTTGCAGGTTTGAGTCCCTGATGCTCAGCAAGGAAGTCAAGCTTCTACAGTATCTCTGGGCCAGCGCTTGACCCTTTTGTGACCACTAGGAAAGCAGCTTAAGTGTGTTGGGTTTATATTTCTGTGAAATGGAAAGCCCCTGTTCCTCTCAGTGTAGAAATAGGTTTGCTGCTTCATGGCAGGTGAGCAATAATTTGGGAGGAAGAAGCCAAATGCTTGCCCCTCATTTTAGCATTGTGTCAACAGGGTGAGATGGAGAGGGGCAGGATGTGGATGCCATGTTGAAGATCTGCAACATTTGAGGGTGACTAAGAGTAGGTGTTAGAAATTTGCTTTGTTTGGGCAAAAGGCTCTGTGAGATGTTTCTTTAGCAATTTATTAGCCAGCTGGTATGAGATGAAATACTGCTTTATTGAATCGCTTCCCCCCATTCTTGCCAAATTTGAGTGTATCATTTTTAACTTTACCTCTTCTAATGGCACTTTGCTGTGCTGCCCCTGGTTGCCTCAGTAGTTCTCCTCTCATCCTGCCAGATGAGTACACACAAGAGTTACATCAACCCCATAGATACCCTTATGGTAATGGAAAGAGCTGGCTGAAGATCCAAATCCCAAACTTGTAAGCCCAGGAAAATACAATTGAAAATGTACAAGGCAGTGTTTTCAGCAGTAAACTTCCACTAAAAAGTGGATACAACTAGCCTTCTTGTGAAAGAGGAAAGGATTAAGCCACAGGGCATTGGTCTGAAACAGTACTGATTGTCTAAGGCTGGTGCCAAAATTCAGTCCTCAGGCCAGGAGACTGCAAGGTGTTGGGACTCAGTATTTCACTTGATGGCCTCACATACCATGCCAATACTGAGACTTATAGAATATAAGTTTATGAACCAAAACATCATCTTTTGTAGTGTTTGGTTTGCTGTATTTCGTGAGGTCTTCAGTGCAGCAAAGCCCAAAGGTAGCTGTTTCTAGAATTTATTTCGTTCAGTTGTTTCCTATTTTTCTTGTGTCAATTGTTTGGTTAATGACTTGAATACCTGAACGGACAAAGGTCTTTCTTGGTGGACAAAGATCTTCCTTGGAGGACTCCAGCAGTATTTTGTTTAAGCAGCTATAAGGACTGTTACTGAAATGTTAATTAGGACTCATTTGAGGACATGTGACATTTATGAATCCTCCTCTTACTCCCAGTATCTTTCCTAAGTGTAGAGGGATTCCCACTACCCCCAATCAGAATTATTCCCTTGCTAAGCTAAAAAATATAGCATAGATACCGTTTAACCTGGACTTCGACTCCATGTCAGTGAGGATCAGCTCCCCCTTCCCCTTTGAAAGACAGATTGATGCTTAAGCACTAGTTGCAGAAACCAAGATGGTCCAAATAGCTTTGAGTAACCCTTCAGATTCTGCTTCTGATTCAGGTGTGGAGCATCGTGTTCTACCTAGTCCTCTTCTTGGAAACCCAGCCTGCTCTCAGAAACCTCCTTCTACCACCTGCTTTTCCTGCTACTTTCAACACAAATCTTGGGTAATGCCAAAGGAAGCCATTCAGCAGCTGCTGTCCTTTTTCCCCCAACACATATACACTTCCTCTGGGAGAAGTGTTTTTCTTCTCGCCCTGGTCCTCAGTTGTGATTAACTGCTCTTACCTGTTGCACTAATGAATTTGAATTTAGGTTGCAAAGAGGGAATTTGAAGCAATAGGCAAATGGGGCTTGGATGAATTGGTCTTGCATATATCCTGCCTTAAGCTGCTGAGGTGATGAGTCCACTGCTCATGTGACCCTCCACCTTTGTGGATCCCTCTTGGTTTGGTACCAGCATGTCTGTTTCTTGAGGTTATATAAATTTGACAAAAGTTAAAACTTTTATTTGTATTCTCTGCACTGTTGCACTCTCCAAATGGCCCCTTTTGTCTTTGATGTCTTTAATTTTTTTTTTCTACTTTGGAAGGTAACCTGCTGGTGGATTTAATAAATTTGTTTACCTGAGTATTGATATTTTTACAAAAAAAAAAAAGTGAATTTATTCTGGAAAAAGTTCTACCCCCTGGAAGCCTTTGGGGTCCCCAGTACTTGCAGGCAAACATCAAATGAGTTATCATCATAGGGCCACTATACCTAATCTTAACTGAATTCCCAAGAGGAGTAAAAAAATCTAAGCATGTCCCTGGATCTATTAATTTTGCAGTAGTTAATGCAAAGGAGGTAAGTTGACCTGTTTTAACTGCCACTGTGACCTTCAGCAAGTTAGTGAAATTCTAAGCTGTCCTTTTACTCATCTGTAAAATGAATCTCTTAATTCCACAGGAGTGTTAGGATTTCAAAGAAAATCTATAAAGCCCATAAGATAAAAAAAAGTGCTCAATCGTATTAAAAGCTCTCTTTAAGCTTCTCCAAAAGGACTTTGGGTGAGTAATGCAGGGAATAGTGAACTGGACAGGGCTTGGCATGGTCACTTGTGATCTCTTAGGAGCTTTCTGTCTAGGTGAGTTTTCACTAACATCACCCCCAGGGCTCCCATTACATTCTACAAGTCTGATGTGATGGACCACTTTCAACCCTGAGCTTCTTCCATTGTAGTTTTCTGCCTAGGTCTTGTTTGTGTTTAGGAATGTTAGTAACCATGTCACTCATTTCTTTGGTGAAGACCATGATGTCCTCCCCAAAGATTCCAAGCCCCATGTTGTTATCTCCTAAAAATAAGTAAGTACAGCGGCAGGGATTAAATGTGCTTTTTCTTGTCAGTTGCAAAGGGCTTAAAAATTATGGCTATATTCCCTAGCTGGGAAAGTTCTCGGATTTCTTCATTGAGTTGGATTTTTCTTCTTCCTGACCAAGGTCAACATCAGGTGGGGGCTGAACGGGAAATCTAAGGGGTGACTTTTCTTTTAGTATGTCCCCAAGACACGTGGTGATTCCCCCCAAACAGGATGTTGATTTGTGTATTTGAATACAGCCTGGAGCTATTCCAAGTGTCACAGTGCTGTGCTGGTTACATGCAGCTAAAATTCAATCTTCAGTAAGATGGACAAGCAACTTTCACACAATTGCCAGACTAAGTGTAACTGCATGTGGAATGGACTTCTAACAAGTCAGTGTACTGAAGGTGGTCTACTGGATCCAGAAGAGTCACTTCAGCATTGGCCTCTTGTCATATCCAGTTACCAAAGCAAATAGTTAGAGGGATGATTTTCAGACCCAGCCTAACTCTGAATTTTGACCCAGATGGAAAAGGGTTAGTCTGACTGGGAAGGAGAGGTTAGGTATCCTAACTTGATTTCCTTTCCTTTCCTTTGTCTTTTGAGATGCCCTGTCTTAAACCTATCAAGTGCCTATCTAGGTTTAACATTCTTTGTAATATTCTGACCTTGATTCAGAGTGACTGAATGAAATAAAGTCTTGGTAAAATAAAGATCAATAACAATGCAGTCAGCAGCAAAGCATATTAACTCTAGCTGGAGGGTCTAGAAATCCATGCTGATGAGGACTCTAAGGGCCCTTTTCTTACCTGGGTGTTGCTGCTGAAATTGCTAGTATATTATATATGAAAGTTATATGAATGTTCTATTGCAAAGCAGAAGAAACCATGAGTGCCAGCTCTAGTACATATACTGACTTGTAAAGGATGTTTCCTCCTAGATTGGATAGGTAATGATAGACCAAATCATCTATTTGGGAAAAGTTACCATATACCAAAATAAGTTCTAGATAGAATAAAAGTGGAAATAGAAAAATTTAAATCATTAGAAATATGTGAACTTGCAGTGAGAAATTGACCTCTAGATCAATCAGGACATTCTAACCATAAAAGTACATGGAAGAAACTTAAAACTTAAAAAAGTAAACTAAAAAAGTGTAATAATTAACAAATTGACACTAAATCTGTAAGGAGCCCTTAAAAATGCAGTATGGAAAAGTACTTCATTTTCCATCAGAAAAAATGGGCAAAGGATATGGTCAACTTGCTGAAGGAGAAAAAATTGGCCAAAAAGCTTCTGGAAAAAAAAAAAAAGATATTTGCCAATCTAAAGGGTTTTCATAAAAATAGAAATTAGAATACCAAAAATGGCAAAGATTTGAAACAAATCCATACTGGCAAACAGTAAAGGCTTTCTGGCATTAAAATAACCTTTAGTGTTAATACTCTTTAATCCAATAATTTCTCTTAAGAACTTAAAAGTACTATCTGCCAAGTTTTTACATGTACATATATAGTTGGTAGCATTACTTGGGAAGAACTTGTGTTAATAGGATAGTGTTTTATAAATTATGACATATCAAAGTACAGTATTATGCAGCTATTACACTATCTGTTTTTAAATAATGATGGGAAAGAAAAGTTTGAGAAGCTTGTCAAATCTCTGACAGATTATAGGATTAGATGTGACTTTAATTTTCCTGGATTTTCAAATTTCCATTAATGGCTTTTCTATTTATAGAAAAGGAAAGACATTTACAAAGAAGAGGACAAAGGAAACAAAAACAACAAGGCTAAGTGTCTACCCCACTATAGGCTGGGAAATCAGAAAATGGGAATAATGTGTTTAAAACCCAAATCAAAAGTTCTCCAAAAAAGTTTGATTTGTTCCCCCCTCCCCCCATGAGCTACTCTTCTCTAGCAGCTGCATTGGCTGCCTAGAAGGGTGTGGGAGGAAAAATGCACAAACACACTTATGAATGGAATGTGTGTTTTGCAAGAGGCCAAGTTGGCAGCTTTGGCTTCCAAAAGGTGGAAGCATCAAGAACAGAGTGTGCAGACTGAGGTCTCAGAGGCCTAGTGGATCCAGAGCTCTCTCTACAGAATAGAATTAAGGCATACAGGGAAGCCTCTAGCCCTACCTATCCACAAGGAAAAGGTCTTGGCTAGTCTTGGGAGCAAAGTAAATGGTCTAGGTTCAGGGAGCCCTAATCTGCCTTTTCTGCATTTTGAAAACAATCCTCAATTATTAAGCACTAACAGTAGGTTTTCCCTAATATAATTCTCAGAATAACCTTATGAAGTAGGTAATAATTTCCTCATTTTAAAGGTGAGGAAACAGAGGCTGACAAAATAATTCATACACAGTCCACTATTCTGACATTTTCCACAAACTATTCTCCAAATACTCACAATTATTAAAAGTAGGTATTTCCTCATTTTGTACAGATTTGTAAATGGACTCCAATAAGGTTAATTACCTTCCCCAAGAATACCTCAGAGTAGAACCCATCCATATCCCAGGCAGGCACTTATTTTGTCTGTCAAGACAGGAACTCAAGAGGTAAATATCACCTAAGCTCCCACAGCTTTGGAGCTCAGCTGGGCAGGAAGGAATCCAGCAACACTATGAATTTCAAGTTGTTCCAGTCTATACACACAAAAAAAATCATTTGGTAAAACTTAATTTGCCAATCTCACTAGAGAAAAAAAATACTATAAACATCTTGTCAAATAAGGCCCAGTTTTTATCAAATAAGAACCAGTTTGGTTCCAAGCCTATACATAGCTTTGTACATTATTTTCTCTACAAAATCGGACTCAAAACTGTATATACTATTCTGTAGCCCTCTACATTTCTTATATCAAATAATATACAGTACTATCACTGCATGATCTCATTTGCAGTCACAATAATCTAAGATACCTATCCATTACTAAATATGCCAAACACAGATGCTAAATAACTTATCGAAGTTCAATAAAAAGCTGGGATTCAAAGTTAGGCACTTTGGTCAGGTGTGGGAGTACAAATCTGTAATCTCAGTGACTAGAGATTCACAATATTACAGGTTGAAGGCTAGCCTCAGCAACTGACTTGGGGTGTGAGGTGTGGTTTTGTGTTTAAGCACTCCTGGGTTCAATCCCTGGTACTCCTGATGTGCTTCATATTATACCTTTTCTGGAAAATCAATATCTCTACCAGTTTGGAATTGTGTGCCTTTGCCCATGTTCTTCCTAATACAGAATGTTATCAGTAAGAGTTAAGCTGAGCTCTGCTTTTACTGAATTTGAAGAGCCCAATAACCGAGGAAAAGTGGTGTGATACAGGCACCTACTGGTAAAAGGTGGCATTGCAAACACATTCTGAAGGAGAGATTTCCAAACATGGGAATTAGAAGTGGGTTTCCAAGACTGGCAAAGCTAAAACCATGGTGGTGAACTTGTGAGATTTTCCCATTCAGCCTTTCTCCTTCAATTTTATAACACCTGCCAAGGTGAAAATAGTTTGCCTTACAGAAATTTGCTTCAGATATATCAACTTTCTTGATGAACTGCATAACTGGCTGGTTTCGTGATCTATACAAAACTTTATGGGGGTGGAACAAACTCACAAAGAGAAAATAAGCTAGTTTCCTCCCTCACCCTGTCTTAAGATGAGGAAGGCTTGAATTTTAGGCATTTATTGAAAACTTGTGCATGCCATCCATGTAAATGGATTAGACCTGTTAGCCAGTACACCAACTTCCCACACAAAGCTGTCCACTGAATGAAAAGGCCCAGCGGTCTTTGGAGAAGCTGCAGCCTGACCGTCTTCTCCACCATTGCCCAGGAAGGATAAGAAACGGCAAGTGGCGAGCAGACTCACAAACCCATGCTTGGGGTGATGCTTTCCTCCTCTTCATCATCTTTTATTCCCATGAGTCCGAGGCCAGATAGAGATCCATGAGGGCTGCAATAAATGAGGAATGAAGACAAGTTTGTATCAATAGGGTTGAGCCTCCTAGGCTGGAAAGGGTGAAGTTTCAGAGTATGTGTGCATGTCATGGGGCAAGAAGCAGACAAATTTATGGAAAGCTGCTTGCTAAAGATGATTCAATGCAAGAACATTGACTAGTCCCAAGAGGCCTAGCTTTGCCACTTAGGAGAAACATCTCAACCAAAACTCAGTAATTTAAATACTGTAGAGCTTTATAGTTGAAAAACTATCTCACAGGGCTTTTGTGAGAATCACACAATAAAAGCCAGATACACTTAAGCACATATTACATGCCAAGGATCGTTCTGAGCAC